CAGCGCCAGGCTCCTTCACACCTGGTGAGGGATACGATGCATGTTTAGTCTGAGTTCAAACATTGATTGGGCTCGTGATTGGTATTCTAGCATTCTGCTTCGCTACTTGTACTACGTGTGTGAGGTCAGTCCTTGTCAGGTCAGTCTTTGTATCTAAGTCTTCCCTGCGCTATTCAGCACTTTTGTATGTATGARAATGCACATTGTCTGTCGAGATTCTACTCTCACCGCATTGTCCATTTCAGTCCTTTTTATCACACTGCAGTTCCTCTGTTATTACGAACATCACATATCTGTGCATGTAACAATACACTCCCGACAAATGGCATGTTGATTGCAGGCCAAAGTGCAGGAAGACCGCTCACCATAAAAGACCATGCATTCAGTATAGCGCCCATGGCCACAAAATGGTTATATATTGTCCGGATGTGGAGGGTGCATGCAGTCAAGAACATGGGGACAGCCCTCTGCACACATGGATGCAGAAACCATGTTATTGTAGTGATTGTGACAGAGACAATGGCGGCTACAGCCGAGTGTAACAGTGTGTAGCTGTGCATAGGAGAAGGTTGCAGAGTGTTGTTACGTTACCCTGCTGCAGAACGGGGCCAGAGGGATGATCTTCGACATAAAAGAGATTGTGGACTGTTTGATGTGGCAAGAAAACAGCATCAGAAATGACTAACATCAGTCATGGCATGGTCGTGCATGGACCAGGATGCTGTTGTCCCACAGCTCCCAGTGGTCAGAGGTATGTACATTGACCATGTAATGGCCAGGTCTTTGCACAATGCAGGCAGAGATGTGGGATGGAGGATTAAACCACTCACCTGCTCGAGCATTGCATAGTTCAAGTTGGCGCTCCCTCGTTGCCACTTGTAGGACAGCAATGGTAAAGCCTCTTTCCCTGGTATAATTACAATCCTCTGGCTGTAGGGGGGGGAAGATCAGCATCAAGCTGAAGGGCGATTGCAAGGAAGTCTGATGATGTATAGAAAGGGCGGTTGATAATGTGAAGCAGATATTAGTTGCAGTCAGACCACAGAGATTGGTGAGGATCTCAGGCTGGTGGATGCTGGCCAACGATTTGCAGATCACCCGGATGGTGTTGCAATCCCAAAATGTCTTGGGTTGCTTGCTGGTCGGTCATTTGCAGATCACCCATGTGGTCTTCGCGTCGAGGGGGCCATATGCAGATCCCCCATGTGGTCCACGCCTTGCGGGGTCAACTACAATCCGAGCAGATCATGTTCCAGTCCCTCAACGTTTGGGGCAACCTGAGTAGGGACTGTTCCTGGAATTGGGAGTGTACTCTTGGCAGGTACCACATCCTGTTGGACAGGTAAATCGCAAATATCTATTCTGAAGGGCATAAAACATGGTGTTGTGGCTGCCTGCAGGCAGCTGGACTGTCTTCAGGAGGCATAGCAGCGGATACTGTTGTTTGGAACAAAGGAACTGCAACAACCTGTGGAGAAGGCACAGAGAGAATTGGGGCAGACACAGAAACAGACTGTGGATCCTTGGACAAGTGACGATACAACAAGGGGAGTAGTGGTGTTGCAAACAGAAGATGAACATCTCCTTGGCAACAAAGTTGGAAAAATGGGAACAATGGAAACCGGAGAGTATATATATGTTGTATATTGTTAATGTATTGTTATAAAGGTAGGAACTAAGAGCATGTTTGAGAGAGAGAGAGAGAGAGAGAGAGAGAGAGAGAGAGAGAGAGAGAGATTTGCAACAGGGCTGGTCCCCGGATGGACCGGGGGGCATCCCCCAACTGGGAGCCTGCTGGTCGGACTGGGCGGTTGACCGGCCAGGCAGGCCCCCGGTCCAACCCAGTGCATCACGCTGGGGGGGGCTTTACCAGGGATTTGAAAGCACCCAGCCTCTGGGATGCCGCCGCTGCTGTCAAAAAAGAAAAAAATGCGCGGTGGATCTCCACCGCTGATCATCGGAGATCAGCGGCAGAGACCCATTCCGCGCTTCATTGAGAATGTGGGGTCCTATAGGTCCTGGTTTCTGCAGATCGGCAGTTGAAACCGACAGCATTTTCGAATTCGAAATGGAACATGTGGAGTCCTCCACGGCCTAGCCTCAGCCTCGCTCCAGCCTACCCTCGCAACCCCGCCCCACGTGCAAGTACGTCGACACGAGGTTGACCCCACGCTCATCCGAGCGGACGGCGACTTCATGCTGCAGCCCAGCCCATCAGCGCCATCGCCCCTGCACCAGCTCGTCATCGCCATCGCCATGCGACGGAGCACGTGCTTCCTGATCTCCTTCTTTCTTCATCTTCTCGGTCGTCTTTTTTCGTGTTCTTCTTGTTCTTTTCTTTGCCTTCTTGGCCTTCTTCATCTTTTGTCCTTCTCAGGGCCTTATTTCAGCCTCTGCGCAGCTAAGGGAATTCAGGCAGTTGCGCAGCACCAGTTGGTTGAGAGAACCCAGGCCCTGGACTGCCTGTGTGAATGTATGGAAAGCAGGCCCTGGGCTGGATACGGGTACTGGGCCGAACACAGGCCAAAGGCAGTTGGGCGCATGCAACCACCTCAGGCCCAAGGCCTGTTCTTGTTCGTGCTGGGCCTCAGGCTACCGGGGCCTACTGGAAGCTTCCTGGGACTGGACGCAGGCAGGCCACTTCGATATAGCAAAGGGCCTGCCTCCGCATTCGCCATTCGGGTGCTGGCTGCATGCTGCGCAAGCGCTGCTGCGCTATTTGCTGGCTGGCGCCTACGTGCTCACGGGTGAGCAGGGAAGGAGCAGGCAGCCATAGCCGAGCTGCGCTGCTGTGAGCTGGATGTGGTGCAGGGTGGTCCTTGGGTGCAAGTGGCATCTGTGTGTTGGGGAACGAGGTTGTGAGTAAGGCGAGAGACATACCTGGTGCTGGAAGCATGCGACATTGGTCGCTGTATGCTCGTACTTCGGGAGAGCTGCTGTCGTCAACTTCGGCATTGTAGTATAGGCTAGATAGGATCTGCCACATGTAGTCTGGGCGCCGAGCGCCAGATAGGATATCAACTCTGGTTCTTCGTTGATGATGATGATGGGACTGTGTTTCAGCATTATCAATTATGAACTCTTGGTGTGTTCTTATTTGGTGAATCTCGTGATGCAATTCTGCTGTTGGTTCGAGGTCACGACTATCTGGAATCGTATGTATGATGCTGTTTGATTGCTGAAGTTCGCTATTGCTCATCTTCCTTGCATCTGTCTTGACTCTCACATACTCTCGATATGTTTCGGTTCAATGCTGTCTTGACTCTCACATACTCTCGATATGTTTCAGTTCCATGCTCTGTCTTGACTCACACAAACATGTCCTGTGCAGCGAGCATAGCTGGGCGGGTCCACTTGTCCTACTCATGAAGAAAAAACACCAATTCGATAAACAGAAGGAAAAAGGCGGCTGCCGCGGGGGTTCGGGGTGGGGGTGGAAGGGGTGGGAGCTGTTCCTGCCGCCTTATGTACAGAACCGCTGTTTTGTCTCACCTCTTTGTTGTTTTCTTCCACATTGGATTTTTTTTTGAAATTTTGAATGGGCATTGACTGACGACTCTCATGATTGCAATCTGATGGTGCTGGGGTCCTTAGAGCCCACTCTCACATACTTTTTCCAATGAATCTGCCCATCGTTATTGCCCAAGTGACGTCCTAGCGCGAGTATGCCCTGCTCGCCTGTGTTAGAGTTGTCAAACTTAAACCACCAGTACCAGCCATCAAAGAGTGTGAAAACAAAGGCTCGATCTGTGGGACCAAGGGGGGTACTGAGGGAGTGCGCTGAAGTCCGAGTACCCCGGTTTTGACGAGTTTAACTTCCTATTTCTAGCGACAAAAAACTGCAAACAAATGAGGGATGTAGACTAGGTCACACCGCATCTTCGACAAAAATCGAAAATAAACAAACTGAATACATTTTTGCATCAAAGTTGCGGTCACCTACCTGGAGTGATGTTTCACGCTAGGCAGGCCAGGGGGGTCACTTCTTTTTTATTCGTACAAATAGGCTCGTGTGACTGGTGGTTTAACCTTCCTGCGTTTGCCTTGTGTTTCCCTCTTCGTTCTCCTCCTCCTGTCTTCTTCCTTCCTCTCTCCCTCTCCCCCCTCTCCCCCGTTTTGTTCCCCCTCTTCTGCCCCCTCCTCTCTCTCTTTGTTGTGCGCGCGATAACTGTGAAGCAAATCAGACTTGACGCAGTGTACTACTTTCATGATCTCATAAGGGAGATGGCGAGCTGGGGCTATGTAGAAGGGCGCACTTTGTTTGGTTTCGGATATGATTTCAGGCAGAGCAACAGGTGAGTCTGCTCTTGCCTCTTTGCTTTGCTTTCTTGCTTAACTAGGAAGGACCTCACCGTGCTTTTACTAATTAATCGAAGAGGGCCTCAGCCGAACCTTGCACTTTTTGAATTCCCCTTTGTATCAGCTGGAGACCAAGATTCGAAGTAATGATCTGTTTGCTAACAGTTACGTCAACTTACATATGTGTACCATGCCAGTTACATAAACTTACATATGTGCATCATGACAGTTACATCAACTTACGGATGTGTACCATGATGTTTACGAAGACTTACCATTGAGGCATATGGGCTGGGTCTGCAACACTGCTCATTTTTATTCCTCCTCCCCCCCCCCCACCCCTTCTCCTTTTCCTTTTGTATTTCTAATGAGAGCAAAAAATTGGACCGTTTCTCGATTTGCACGTGTCATGTTAATTAATCTTCTAGGTATAGTTCATCTGTTGTTTTGATGGATTTCTTGAGGTACAATGACCATCACAGAATGAGAACTATGCTGTTTTCAGAGTTTTGCCACTGGACTGATGTGACTTGCTGAGATTCCCATATTCTGCTGAGGTTTCTAAGTACATGTGTGTGCATGATTGCTGAGTTTTCATGTGTGTGCCTGACTGCATGATTGTTTTGGGCATGTGTGACCCACCAGGGTACTTGTTTGCTGAGAAGGCCCCCTGGCCTGGTACTTACCTGTGGCCGTGCTTTTGTGTGGGGGCAGGAACTGAGAAGTAGGCTAGGCCCGTGTAGGATTGAAAACACTCAAGTGGCAGGTAGGTAGGCAGAAGAAGACAAACTGTTAGTACCTTTAGAGGCTGAAGGAATTTTAGAAGTCCGGTAGGCTTAGTCTAGGGGTACCGGTCCAGTAGTTTGAGTCTAGGACCTGTAGTCAGGTATATTGAACTGCACTGTTGTTTCCCTCCGAAAGAAGGAATGTACCGATAGCTTGGGAGGCTATGCAGCCTGGAAGTCACTGCCTGGCGAGGCAGTAGGCCGGTATATCTTCAGGAAGAGCGAAGAGCCCTTCCTCATTTGCAGCTTTGCAAGTTTGGCAACATGTTGCTTGTGCAAGTGCTCAGTGTAGTAGCGCTAGGGAGGACGAAGGCGGCCTTGGTCCTCCACCGCACTATGATGGAGAGGGGCCCCAGGGAAGGAGTAGGAGGAGGAAGATGGTGAGCAAGGAGGAGAATGGCGGGGTTGCTTACTTGACCATGGTTGTCTGCGTCTTCATCTTCTTGTTTGGCGTTACACCTGGAAGGCCCGAGTTGGGGTTGGCTTCATCAAGGAAGACTGCGGGGTAGTGATAGGAATGGTGGCCATAGTACGAGCTTCACATTGCCCTTTGAACATCGGAGCTTTGCTCTGCTAGTCCGCCATAGCCACCTACTGGACCAAGAGGAGAAAGGATTATGAGATGGCTATGGTGGACCTTATCAGTGGCTGGGAGTAAGGAGAGGATTCACACATTGGTTCTGATTCATTCTTTCATTGTCTTCTCTTCCCTATACCCTTGAAAGATATAGCGGTCCCACCGACATACGCGGCCACGGGCCCATGAGAAACCATTGCGGGGGGCTGTCGTCGGGTTTGCCAGGGACCGACAGGACCAGTGCGGGCGCAAAAACCAAGCTGTCTCGTGCCAGGGACCGACAGGACCAGCGCGGGTGCAAAAACCAAATGGTGCGCGCAAAAAGACGAGCGAAGAGGACCGGCGCAGGCGCAAAATGCAAACGCTGCAAAAGAACAAGCGAAGAGGACCAGCGGGGCCGCGTCCGAAAAGGCCAGCGAGGGGAGAGGGAAGAGGCGGATGCGGGCCTGGGCGTCGAAAACTGTGGGAAAACAGGTGGAATATTTCGATGTTCTAGTGGAAGATTCATTCAATTTTGCTAATTGTGTGTGTGTGTGTGTAGGTAAGTAGTGTATATTTCGATGTTCTAGCGGAAGATTCATTCGATTCTGCTCATCGTTCGTGTGTGTGTGTGCGAGAGAGAGAGAGAGAGAGAGAGAGAGAGAGAGAGAGAGAGAGAGAGAGAGAGAGAGAGAGAGAGAGAGAGGCCAACAGGTAAGTCTCCAACCCTGCAACTGGCCTAACGCTACTTCCATTGATAGGTGAGCAAAATCGAATGAATCTTCCGCTTGTGTGTGTGTGTGTGTGTGTGAGAGAGAGAGAGAGAGAGAGAGAGAGAGACTGGCCAACAGATAAGTCTCCAACCCCGCGACTGTGGAGGTGGGTGGCGCGTGGAGGGGAGTTGGGCAAAGGGGACATGCACGGAAGGGGGAGAAGGGAGGTGGAGGGGGGGAAGAGGGAGGAGGGAGGAGTGGGAGGAGAACGGGATGAGCAACAAGAAGAAGAAGAAGAAGAGGGGGAGGTGGACGAGAAAGCCGAAGAGGAGGGGGAGGAGGAGAAAGCAGTTGAGGGGAAGGAGGGGAAGGGGGAGGAGGAGGCGGACGAGAAAGCCGAAGAGGAGAGGAGGATAAAGGTGAGGAGGAGGATGAGGGAAAAGGCAAGTGGAAGGGAGAGAGGTGGAGGGAGGAGGCGGCTAAAAAACTTTTTTTTTTTTTTGCATTCCTGTCCCGTTTTCTTCTTCGTTTTGCGTCTAACTTTTTTTTTTTTTTNGTCTAACTTTTTTTTTTTTTTTTTTAGTTCTTGCGTCGTTTCCTTCTTCGTTTTGCCTTTGCTTCTCCTTTTCTTTTTTAGTCCATTACAGTTAATCGATCAATCATCAATCATCAATCAATCAATGAATCAATCTCGACCAAGGTCGATCTTTATTGATCGATTGATTGATTGATTGATGGAGAAGGAGACTAGACCCAGTTGAGGAGGAGGAGAAGTATCGGGGACGGACGGTCTGGCGTGGGTTGGGGAGGGTGGGCCGAGGGTAAATCAGGTTCGGGACAGGGGACAAGAGTAGTCGGGGAAGAGGCAGAGGGCAATGAAGGCGCGCTGAGGAGAGGCACACGGAGGGGGGGGGGGGGGGGGAGGAGGTGGGAGGAGGGAGGAGGGAGGAGGGAGGAGGGAGGAGGGAGAGGGGGGGGATGAGGGGACACGCGAGTTGAAGGGAGGGAGGAAGAGGGAGAAGGTCGTTGGAGGAAGAGGAACAACTTTTTTTTCTCTGTCTTGTTTTTTTTTTGCTTTCTATTTCGCTTTCCTTTTCTATTTGTCAAGTTCCGGTATTCAATCAATCAATCAATCAATTAATGAAGATTGACTAAGGTCGATCCAATTGCATCTACGACAAGTTGGCAACTGCCGGGCCATTTTGCAAAGTTGGGCAGCTTTCGGTAGGGGTACATTGCGAAGATGGTATCCAACTGATGGCTACGGTGTTTTTTTCATCGTCCTCGCTGCGGCGGGTCCACTTGTTACTATTAAAGTTCATCAGTCGTGGGCTTTGACACACCCCTTCTTGGCCAATCAAGGTCGTCTGATCATGGATCTGATGACAATCGGATGGTCGAGATTCGTCTTGAAAACGTTTTCTTTGAGTGACACTTGGTTGTGCAGTTAGTGTACTAGTGGATAGTCTGCCTGGTCGAGAAATCTGCCAGTGAGCGTAGAGAGCTTCTGTGAATGTCAGAAAGTGTCGGAGATTGTTAGATATTGAGAGCCATCATGACAATGTGATTTGGCACATGATTTAATGTGTAGGTAAAGAACACCGTTGTGTTTTTGGCAATGTGGGATGAAAATGAAGAAATGTGTAAATGGGGAGATTGGAAATTTGAAAATTGATATGATTTCTAACACCCAGTTTGTGTCAGATATTGTCAGGATGTGGGGTGTGTTTCATATGCTGCCGCAGCAAGGTAACCACTCTTCTTAAACCACACTTTTACCAATTCGACTGACAATCTCACTGTTTCGAGTGGACGAAACTCCCATCTTCTTACTTGTTTCCGACTCCGTTCGCGTATGCCTTGCTGAGCCCATGGGAAGCTTTCACGAATAAGCGAAAGACACAACAACTAAGGTACTCTACAAACTCCTTGTGCGATGCCGACTCAACTGCCGTCTTGGGTGAGTCAACGGAAATCACCCTGAATCACGGCAGTGACAGTCACTCTGGACGTTGGTCATAACAATGCAGACCTCTGCTTGCATGCCCACAATGCGTGCGGCCATATAGGAATTAATCTCTCTCTAGCTCACATTAGTTTACAAAATCATTGATCATGTTGCCGGTTCGCAGAAACCCCAGACGTCTAGATAAACAATGCGCTCGAAGTGGATGCCCACACACTCATTAACCTAATCTTATGCACGCTCGGCGTTCCAACTTTTGGGAGTCGGTTGCTAGCTGCGTAAAAATAAATGTACCACCGCCTTGGTTATCATCACTGACGCATCTTATGCGAGACGCAAAAATACACGCAAATACCCTTGTAAGGGTGTTTCTGCTGACAACGACAGGAAGGGTGATGCGATGTCCTAGTTCGCTGCTACGCGAGCTTACTTCTACATTTTGGGGACTCCCCTGGTTACTCAATCGGTTGTCGTGGGGATGAATGTCTTGCCCGAAGTACGGAGTTGGGTTGAGATCCAAGCCATACAGGCCGGATACACCAGGCTGGAGATGAACAAGTGGTTGAAGGCCACATACATCATTGCACTTGAGGAGCTCTTCGTTAAGTGACATCAAGATCCACACGCTATTGCACGAGCGAGGTATCGGCTCTGCAAGCACAACAAGTAGACCAAGAGTATGAAAGGCCGGATGGCACATCTCAACAACCTCTTTGCCATACTTGGCTTGGAGATGACAACACAATCATGCCTAGATGTTGTCAAATGCCCAGTTCCCTCGACCATTACTAATTGCCTTGGGCTAGGACTCGACGACTATACAGACTGGCTTTCCCTCATGAAGGATGTGGTCGGGCTAGAGGCGCAGGAGCTCTTTCGCACAACAGGTAGTGTAAAAAAGACCTATGGTCGCCGGCGGCACGAAGGCAGCAACCGTTTTGTGTCGCACAACCTGTTGAAGTCCGATGATGAGGCTGGTGCTGATGGTTCTACTCTTGGTGACTATCAAGAGCAAGATGCTTACCTAGTGTGTTCTTCGACTTAAGAGGCTGAAACTGCAGGTGATGATGAAGCGATGAATGCCTTTAAAAAGACTGCCTTTAAGAATGAGGGGCAGAGGAACTCAATGAAGAACAATACTAACACCATTCACCTCCCAAAAGGAGCAAAGACTCCACCCAAGCCGGAGGATCTTGCCACAAAACCATGGGTAGATCTCCGGATTACTCAAAGTGATTTGAAACAAAGAGTGAAGAAAGGGGTTTTCTTGCATTGTACCAAACCGGGGCATTCAGTCTAGCAATGCTTTAGGTTGCGGCGGTGAGACCAGTCAAGGAGGTAGTATCAGCACACTCTACTGTAGGGAGGTTGAACTAGTAAGTGCAGGGCCTTCTAAGGATTATGATCCACTCAACAATCCTCTCTTGAGACCCCAACTGATGTTGATTTCAAAGTTGAGAAACTGCATATCCTTTACAAGGAGGCTCGAGTTGAGTTGGACGAGGTTGACTTTTACCTCTCTTGCTGCGCTGGGCTCAGATGAAGCAAGAGCACATGCAGGGAAAAACGAAGTTGGTCTTTTTCAAGCTCCGCATTAATGGAGGATACATCATACATCCATGCGTTGGCTGATTGTGGCGCAGCCACCAACTGCTCACTGTTGGAGATTCGTAAGGCATGCACAAGAATTAAGCAAGTAGCTTTGCAGAACCCTTGTCGGACCCAAGTGGGCAACCAAGAGGTTGTCACATCTATTTAGTTAAAGGTGTGCGCACCACCTTTGACGCAGACTCCACAGTCACTCATGAGTTGATCTTCTAGGTCCTTGATAAGTGCCCCTTAGACGGGGTTATTGGCTTGGGCTGGTTGCAGGCCGAATGCAAAAGAACAACATGGAAGAACTCGCATATCATGGTTAAAGATGCCATGGGGATCGAGCGCTCAATCCTTTTGGACGAAACGCGCAAGTCCCTAGCCGAAGAGGACCGTAGAAGATGCATCTCGGCATGAACGTTAAGAAGTTGGATAAGTCGGTTGCGAGTAGAGTGGTTGTTAACCGAGAAATGAGAGTTGAAGATAATGTCGAAGAGGTAAAGGCATACTTCTAGTTGGAGGGGGGGACTAAGTTGGAGAGAGTTTTGCACTCCCTGGCCCTCTATGTGGAGGACAATCTACCCTTTGACCTGATCGCAGGAACGGATTGGGGAAACCTTGCATACGAGGATGTCAAGATAGGTGAGCACAAGTGCTAGCTGCCCAGCCCCGAAGGTGGGAAAAAGAAAATGTGTTTGTTTCGTAAGTTCACGAGCATTGTTGCACGAGTGCCCCTACGTTCACTAGGCACGTGGTAAAAAAAAACCTGATTGACGAAGTCTTCGTCGCTTATGCTAGACTCGTGAGTGAGCAGTCGAAAGGGGAGGAAAAGGCACCACCCGAAATAGAGAGTTTGTTCCAAGAGTTTGCTGGTGTAGGAGAGGCCCCAACCAGCGTGGTAGAAAGGGAAATTAAGCTCCGGATCGAGATAGAGCCTGATAGCAAGACCCCCAAAGGCCCCATCTACCGTATGTCTCCCATGGAGTTAGACGAGTTGTGCAGGCAGCTAGACGAACTAATCGAGAAAGGGTGGATAAAGCTATGCTCATCACCATATGGCGCACCAGTTTTATTGTGCCAAAGGAGGAGGGTGAACTGCGTATGTGCATTGGCTATAGGGGACTTAACGCAATTACCGTGAAGAATGTCAAACCATTGTCGGCGCATAAACGATCTATCGGATAGGGTGCAACACTGCAAATATTTTTCTAAGATTGATTTCAAGTCTGGGTACCATCTGATCGAGGTACAACCCGAAGACAGCCTAAGATGGCCTTTAGGACGTGTTATGACCTCTACAAATTTATGGTTATGCCGTTTGGTCTAACGACCACCCCTGCTACCTTCAAAGATGCATGAACCGGTTTTATTTGTGTCGTAGGACGAGGGCGGACGTGTTATGACCACTACAAATTTGTGGTTATGCCGTTTGGTCTAACGATCGCCCTTGCTACCTTCAAAGATGCATGAACCAGTTCATTTGTGCCATAGGACGAGGGCGAACTGCATATGTGCATTGACTATAGGGGATTCATCTCAATTACCGTGAAAAATGCCAAACCTTTTTCGCGCATAGACGATGTATCTGAGATGGTGCAACGCTTCAAATATTTTTCTATGATTGATTGAAGTCAGTGTACCATAAGATAGAGGTACAACCCGAAGACCGACATAAGATGCCCTTTAGAACGTGTCACGACCACTACGAATTTAAGGCCATGTTGTATGGTCTAGCGAACACCCCGGCTACCTTCAAAGATGCATGAGCGACCTCTTAAGAGAAGGGCTTGATTAATTTCCAGTTGTCTATTTAGATGACATCTTGATTTTTAGCAAGACGTTAGAGGAGCATCAACAACACTTTTGTCTAGTCCTAGAGAAGTTACGAGACGTCGAGTTTAAGTTGAATCCAAAGAAGTGTGAGTGGGCCAAGCGCCAAATGTTATATCTTGGGCATGTACTTAATGGAGATGGAGTCCGACCGAAAGATGTAAAAGTAGCAGCAATTAGAGACTGGCCAATCCCACATACGCTTACGGAACTGTGGTCGTTCCTAACACTGACCAATTATTATGGGAAGTTTGTGCGAAACTTCACTTCCATCACTGCACCGTTGTGTAAGTTGCTGCATAAACAGATCGTATGGAATTGGGATAAGGATTGCACTTTTCCACGTTGAAGAAACTGAAAAAGTGCTTAATAGAGTAATGTTACGATCCTGGCCAATTTCGAAGTGCAAAATTCTCGAGAAAGCACTATGTCGTCCAATTGCAAAAGACATGAATAAACTTGAGAGGAGAGAGATAAAGAAGAAGAAGAAGAAGAAGATGTACACTAGTAAAAGATCAATGACAATCCCCCTACTTGTCGCCAACCAACTCCTGCGCCTTTCTCCACACAATAAATAATGATGAATGGCTGAACCAGAATCAAAGTTCGAATCCCACTTTTAGTGCTTAGCATAACTAGAGGTCCACCATAGCCATGGCCTCCGTCCTCCTCAACCAGGACGAGGCTATGGCGGACTACTAACGGACTAGCTCTGCTGTGCAAAAGACAACGCAAAGCAGCTATGTCTACTGTTGCTCAGGCCGCCATGTTTGACTCTGCCTTGAAGCCTTCTTGTTGCGGCGCTACCCCCACCGGGGCCTTCCAGAGGCAGCGCCTAACAAGGTGATGAAGATGGTGTCCACCATAGCCAGGTAAGTTTTGCGCCCTTCTCCACCATAGTCCCTTCTTCCTCCTCCTCCTACCCGCGGTGTTCCTCCATAGCCAGAGAGGCCAACTAGACGCTGCGCCTCCCAGGCAACGCTAGTGGAGCTGCACTCTTCCCAGCAACGCTCTAAAGTCCACGCTCTAAAGTCCAACACCCACTCTAGTAGCATGATGCCCAAATTTGCATAGCACAAATGAGAGTAGCTCAATGCTCGACCCGGAGACATAGCGGCCTACTTGCCTCTTGAGCGGTGGCTTCCAGGTCGTGCGACCTCCAAGCAACCGTTACCTTCTCCCTTTCGGAGGAAAACATCATTGCAGGCTCTAATATCGTCCGCACAAGCCCTACACTCAGGCTACTTGGACTGGTACTGGCATACCTTTAGCCTACCACTACTGGGCCTTTAAAAATGCCACTCTTTTTGTCTTCTTCTGTTAGGCCTCCAGTTCCCAACACATCTACCACTATGTGAGTGGTACCGGTCTACCTGCTACTTGAGTGTTTTTCCCTGCTTTTCTCTCGCGAGTCTACTCCCGCTACTTTTCCCCGCTGCAGCCCTTAATAGTCACAGCCATAGGTAAGTACCAACCCCCGTGGGCCTTCCAAACAAATAAGTGCCCTAGCGGGTCACACACATACTTAGACCGACAAGCAGTTAGGCAAGCACATGAACCAGAAAGCACGCACACACACACACAAACTTAGAAAACTCACCTGAATGCAAGCAAGACATTCATTCCAGCGGCAAAAACTCAAATCAGCAGTGTTCTCAGTCTGTGTTTTGGGGGGTCATTACACTGACCCCCTCAAGGGAAGGTCCATTCGAGCGAGTAACTCACTCAAAGTCCCTGCACAATGCATCATAGGCGTAGATGGCAAGGACTGATCGGGTATATTCTGTTGGAGTGAGAGTAGCAGTAAACTTCGACTCCTGTTTTGGTTGCTGATCGGAGGACTGTGGCTGTTGTTCATAGACAGTCAGTTGTTCATGGCTTTGACGACTTGTGGTGCACTTTGCAACAATTTTTTCTAGTAAAAATCATCTACTAGGTAATACAGAAAATGGACCTTATATTGCTTGGTCTTCCCCTTTCCATTGCGACACCCCCTCTTCTTCAGAAAGCTCATACATTTTGACCAAGACGTAACTTCCTACTGTCAAAGGTTCAGGCTGACGCTTCTTCTCAGCATGTTTGATCATGGCGTTGCGTCACTTCTCCATAGCTGCAACAGCAACCTTGAGCAGGCGATCGAACTTAGCGTTGTGGCCAGGTGTTAGATCAGGAAACAGGTAGGATAGAGGATTGCGAATGTCCCACGAGATTCGACCGATCTGGTGCCATCATCATGGCGTTGCGTCACTTCTCCATAGCTGCAACAGCAACCTTGAGCAGGCGATCGAACTTAGCGTTGTGGCGAGGTGTTAGATCAGGAAACAGGTAGGATACAGGATAGCGAATCTGCCACCCGAGATTCGACCGATCTGGTGCCATCCCAATGGAGGAGTGTATGGAGTTGATGTACAACCCTATGCACAATCAGCAATTCCTCATTCCAAGAGTTATGATGGAGAACAATCAGAGTGTGGAGAAGTTGGATCATAGTCGGGTTGATCTCCCAAGTCAATTCAGGTTGCAGGATGTCAACGAGATGTCATCTTGAGTTTGATGTCATAGATCTGGGAGGTGAAGTCCTTCCGATCTGCAATTATGAACCTGGTGTCTGGGTCACTCATAAGAGTCTTTGAGGGGTCATACTGCAAAATGGACCTCTCGTTTAAGTCCTTGATCACAAGGTCATTAAGGGGGTGGGGTGGTAATGGAATTAGAGTCAAAAATTTTGAGAAGCGGTCAACGATCACCATCTCCTACGAATGTCCGTTTCTCTTCTTTCCCATGTCTGTGAAATCGATGGAGACAGGTTCCCCAGGACCGGCAGGGATAGGAAGAGGATGCAGTAGCCCATAGGGCTTTTGCCGAGATGGTTTGATGCGTCGACAAACTTGACACTCAACCACAAACTTTCGGGCCATTCCCATCATGTAAGGCCAATCAGACTCGTGTAATGGGCATATGAAAGTCTTTTCAAACCCAAAGTGTCCACTCCGGCCATGAGCCAAGTCCAGGAATTTAGTGTGGATAGGCTCATGGTTGGGTACACACAACTGGTTGTGCTTTCCATAGAGTAGGAAGATCAGACCTTCACAAGTAGAAATCAGGCTGACTGTTAGGGTCAACTTTGATCTGCTCAAGGATAGGACTGAGGTCGGGGTCCTTGGCAGTCTGGTCAACTTGTTCCTCCTTCAAATTCTTTTGGAGGTCGTTGGAGCTCACAAGGCAAGTCGTGTACCAGGGTGGCGAGACAGACCATCTGAAACGGGATTGTAATAACCTTTCTTATTTTTAAGTTAAAAATCATACATATCAATCTCATGCAGCCAGCGGGTCAATGTAGTAGATGGATTATTTTGCAGCTTGATCCCATTTCAAAGTCCCATGGTTTGAGAATACTTTGAAATGGCGACCCAAGAGGTAATGTTTCCAATGGTCTAGTGTCTCTCGCAAGACATAAAGCTCCCTCATGCAGGTGGAAGTGGCTACCCTTTTGACTGGGCATGTGTTGCTATAGTAATCATCACCATCATCTTGCTGCAGCAGTGTGCCAATTCCACATAGGCTCGCATCCGTAGTTACTACGAAGGTGAGTTTGGGATCTGCAATCCAGAGCACTGGATGACTCACCAAGGCCTCTTTCAATGCTTGGAAGGTGGTCGTACATTTCCCATCCCATGTGTAAGATACGTTCTTGCTTGTCAGTTTTGACAATGAACGAGGAATGACATAAAATATGGACACAAACTTGAGGTAGTATGACGCAAGACCAAGAAAAAAACGCAATTCACGGACACTTGCAGGTTGAGGACACTTGCGGATGACTTCAACTTTGGTTGTCTTCGGCTCTAGGCCTGCGACAGACAACCGATGCCCAAGATAGATGACATTGTCACTCCCAAACTTAGATTTCTCTAAGTTGAGATGAAGTTGCACGTCCTTGAGGATCTGCAAAACCTCAAGGTGTCTCATGTGCAGTGATGTGCTCCTCCATTGACTTGTTGAAGATTAGAATATCATCTACATAAAAAACAACAGATTGATTGATCTTCCCTATGAAACTTTGAAAGGTGAATTTGTACAACCCATCGTGAGTCTTAAATGCAGTCTTATGCTGGTCTGCATGATCGACTTCAATTTGGTAGTAACCAGACTTGAGATCGATCTTGGAGAAGACCTGGTACCCACCTGCAGCATCAAGCAAATCATCAATGCGTGACAAAGGATATATGTTTTTCCTGGTTATTCGATTCAATCCACAAAAGCCGATACACATCCACAATTTGCCTCCTTTCTTTGGGACAAACAAAACAGGCGCACTGAATACATGTTCGTTGGGCTTGATCCAACCTTTCTCAACATCTCATTAATCTATCTCTGCAACTCCTCCAATTTGTCTGAGCCCATACAATAGACACAAGTCACACAATATTTTGGAGGGGTGTTGCCTTCTATCAACTAAATTTTGTGTTGGACCGGGTGCACGAGAAATCCGCTGGGTTCGGCCAAGACTTCAGGATATCGGTTGAGAAGACAACATATTTTTTATGGAACTTCTAGAGGTGGAGAATGAGAATCCAGTGCAAGCATATCGGACTGCATAGGTGCAGCCAAGACAATAGGATTTGAAGTAGAACCATTTATACTGGAAGTAGACTAAATAAAGGTATGATAAGATGTAGAAGTAGTTGCATTGGAAGTAGAAACATCATGCAAAGTAGAATTGTTATGTGCAGCAAAAATAGAAGGCACATGAGCAGGTCTAACAAAGGCTAGATATAATTGCTCATCATCTTTGTGTCTGCGCCACTTCTTGCAGAATTTCAGTGCATTTGTTACGATCCTGGTCATTTCCCAAGTGCAAATTCACAATGAAAGACAATGCCACCCAATTGCGAAAGAAATGAAAGCACTTGCAAAGAGATAAAGACCAGAGGAAAGGTAAAGAAGAAGAAGAAGAAGAAGAAGAAGAAGTACATTAGCAAGACCAATGACAATTCCCCCTTCTCTATCCACCTTCCTCCTCCTCCTTCTCTTCACCAATCTTATTTTTCTCTCAATAATAATAATAACAATGAATGGATGAACCAGAATCAATATCCGAAGTTCCCTCTTACTGCTGACTCAACTCAACAACAACAACAACAACAACAACCAGTCCACCATAGCTATGGCTTCCCTCCTTCAGCCTCCTCTCTCAAGCATAGGCTATGGCGGACTACCCCAAGCAGCTAGGGTGTTGTGCTGATGTCCAAAGGCCAACCCAAGCAGCTATGGTGCTGCGCTGATGTCCAAAGGACCACTCAAAGCAACTATGCCGCTGCTGACTTGGTCCGCTATGCCTGACTCTGCCT